GAGCCGCCGGCCGTACCTGATTTGGGATGGCTCTTTTCTTGTTCGTCTGGGTGTTCCTTTGCTGTGCGCTGAAAGGAGAAAAAAAGAGCGGCTTTAGGCAAAAGCAAAGCAATGAGCGCTCAGAGCCCACGCGGCCAGGACACGTTTCCCACCCGGAACGCCGTAAGGAAGAGCCGAGTCCAAAGGGGAAGCCCGTCACGTAAAATTCAACCAAGATCACCCAGGCTCGGTGCTGCCGGCACGTCGCAACACGGACAGAGGAGCCCCTGCCAGAGTTTTGCCCAGGACCAAACGAGAGAGCAGTGCCGAGGTAGGGGGATGGAGCTTTCCAACCCGGACACCTTTATCTCCTTCCTCACAGTCCTTATCTCCGGGCATTTACAAGCCTGCCTCTTCCAGAGGGGCAAGGAGAGGCAACACCAAGCAGATCAGCAGCGGTTGCCGACTGAAAAGGGATTTCTGTCCGTGAAGCCAGGCGAGCCGAGGCACCCCGACCACCGCAAGGCCGATAACCAGAAGGATTCGTCTCCAGAAACACCTGCAGCCTCCTACTTTTCCCCCCCACCGCAAGACTGGAAAAAAAAACAACAAACCTGCACCAGAGGGAAAGCTACCTGTCTCTCCTGAGCAACCAAAGAGACGAGGGGCGAGGAGCGGGACGTAACCGTTAGTCAGGAGCAGGAACAAAATCCATGAAAACAGTTAGAATAATGCCGGGACACCCCAGGGAGCAGCAGTTTACAAGCACAAACGGGGTCCTTTCCCTGGGGAAGGTGACTGCGGGATCGCGTTCGCAGCAGCCACCGTCCCTCCGATCCCGGGTGTCCCTGGGGGAATTTGGGAGGTCGCTCTCTGCCTGCCCTGATCCTCACGGTTCCTCCCTAAACCTTTGGGATACAAGGTGAGCCAGTCTGAGCCAGCCCAAGCACCGTGGCATCCCGGATGGGAACGGGAAGGTCTCCGTGTGGTTGAGCTCCACTGCAAGCGCAAATCCAAAGCCGAGCTTGGAGGAGAAGCTCCCCAGCTCTCCTCAAATGTCCCTCGGGGCTGCGGGGAGGGGAAGGTGC